GCTTTTTTTGAAGCTGTAATGTGGACGGACCGTTACAGTTTAGTAGCTGGGGCAGTAACTATAGTAACGCAGTGTAGGCGGAGCCGTGACGTCATCTTGACAACATCAGCCGTTAGCTGTTAGCACTCAGAGCTCACAGCTCCTCATATCTGTTCAGAAACTAGACACAAGTTAAACAAGTCCAAACCACAGACTGTCTGTGTCATGGAGAATACAGTCGCTGGTTTATTTATGTCTGTAGGCCGTTGTTGTGAGTGTGGACGGTCGGAGCATATACTGCGTTAGCTTAGCTGATCTCCATTTAGAAAACACGCATTTTAAAAGGTTTTTCGCCTGCCGTCTGTCTGCAGACTTGTCAAAGCATTAATTCATGGTTTTTACTAACCGGTATCAGTATGTTGTTACTTCGGCATCATTTTGAAACGTGTATTACAATTAAATCACGGTCAAATATGTTCATCTTGTTGTAGTTGTAGCCCCCTTGCCAGCGATTCTCTCTCTAGTTTAGCATACTCAGCCCGACTCAGCCTGGTTGTTGGCCCGGAAAGAACCTGGATTGTTGAGAGCCAGAGAAACTGTGAAACAGTACCCGCTAGCCGGAACTACGCCAAGTGGAAACGCATCCAAAAAACAGGCCGGGCACGCTGACACCGCACTGTAGTGGAAATGCGCCATTAGATGCTCCATTCTGATCCTAATGAGACGTGTTTTTGTTCCTCTTGAGACTCACGAGTGGGAACTGGCCGTGAACAAGCAGGTAAGTGCTGAACACGAGTGCTAACAGCTAATGTTGACTCTCCTCGTGCTATTTCACCACATATTTCTAGTTCAAAACGTACATGTATCAGGGCACATAATGGGAATGTCCCCTATGTCTCTAAGATGCTCCACTCTGGTCTGAAACATAAGGTCCTCTTGAGACTCACGAGTGTGAACTGGTCGTAGACGTGCATCAGGTCCTCGATCTTGTACTGCTCCAGAACCACGAAGTTGTCGAGGTCGGCTCGCCGGGCGCAGTCCTGACAGTGAACCACGTACGTCTTCCTGCTGTTGCTCTCCGTGGTGACCAGAAGCAGGTCGAACACCTCCACCTGTAGGCGGGGGGAAGACAGGGGTCAAGGGTCATCAAACAACACGTAGGAGAAAAATCTGCTTACATTTATAAAAATCAACTTTATTTTAAATCTTTCAGTTTGTGTGTTCAGAGAGAGAGACTGAATTCCCACAATCCCGATAACAAAATACAAATATATATAAAAATATGTATATATCTATATTTACACAATCAACAGACACATTTATACATATCATCATATCATATATATATGTAGAGTACGTGTGGTTTTAATATATATATCTTTACCTCACAGATGCTGCAGTAATGCGCCGGCTCGCTCTGAGTCCTGCCGTGCCACGCCAGCTCTTTCCCAGCATTCAACAGGAGATCCCTCTGCATCTGACACTGCTTCAGAGTCCTCAACAAACAATACCTGACACACACACACACACACACACACACACACACACACACACACACACACACACACACACACACACACACACACACACACACACACACACACACACACACACACACGTTGGGTGAGTTTCACAAAAAAGAAAGAACAAGTGTTTTCTGGGATAGATTCGTATGTTTTGAACAGGGTACTTTTTCCACAGTAGTTGAGTTTGCTGTGGACGTTATTTAGACACCTGACTCTCAAAGAAAGACTAATACATTTAGACACCTGAAATAAATCAATGTCAGTTTAATGCTATACTTAGAATACGTTCACATCTTCTTACTATCAGACAGACCTTTCTGACGGGGAACTGGAGCCGTTATCAATGGTCTCTAAAGCCACCAGACTTTATTGAAAAAAAATGATTTTCTTTTATCTCGCAGAACACACAGGTTCCCGGTATACCCAGGGGTGCACA